AAATCTCATAGTCAAAGCCTAGAAAAAGAAAGGACACCAAATACAGAAAACCGAAGAAAAAATCAGCGTAATAGGTGGTAACAAAATTTCCAGAAAAATATGACAAGCCGCACTTTATTTGTTGGGGTGCGGACGTGGTGGCGGGCGCCTCGTTGGTGATGATCCACTTCTGCGGGTCGTTCGGATCTTGTTGAAATTGGAGATTTCCTAAAAATGATTTATTTGAATTGAAGATTCGACGAACCCAGTGTTATCCGTTGTTGTGCGGGGACGGGTTCTGGCGCTGGAGGTGCAGCATCGACCTGAAAACGCGAATTTAGTTTTATAAATCATAATTTCGTTTTATTGATTTTTCCTAGAGCTAAATTTTCGTTTAATCGATTTCCACGTGCTCATTTGAAAAGCACTGATTTTCCTAAATAAAAAATGGAAAAATACTTTTCGGCATTTATATTTTTCTTTTTCTATTGAGATTTCCGTATTTTCGAAGCTGTCGGCATAATTTTTGGACCTTTTTTTAGGCTTCGTGAACGGAAACTGTCGAAAATATGAATTTCGAAGCTGTTCTAAAGCCAAATATTACCTTTCCGCTCTCCAGCGTCTCGACAGTCGTATTCTGGGAGATCTGGACAACGGGCTGCATCGTGGCGAGCACCGCCGGCTTCTTCTCGACATTTATTTGGGTGGGCGGGGCGCTGATCGGGATGAACTCCAACTGAAAAAAGTGCGGTTGAAAAAGCTGGCAGTTTTTGCAGGATTTTTAAGCGAAAAAATAGAAAAAAGACGCCAAAATTCTCAACTAATGAGTGCTCAAAAATCTGCTAATTCTGTTACGCAATGAAACTAGGATGACAAACCTGTTGTCCGCCATTCGAGGTGGTGCTGGGCTGGAGGAGGTAGACTTGTTGCGTGGGTTGCTGGCTCTGGTTCGGCTGTAGGAGGAACACCTGGAAACGGGGAATTGAATTTGAATGGATTTATAAGTGTGTTTGATTTTTTGTTTTTCTCCGATATTTACTTGGATAGAGAAACGTAAAATCGAGGTTAGAAAGCGATCGAAGCTCTAAAAGCCGATGCCTGGCCAAATAACCCGAAATCCAGGACACCACGAAAAGACTAAAAAACCTGTAAAATTCTGAATAATTCGTTTTGCTTACAATTTAAATATAGTTAAATTAACTAAAAAGGAATGTAACACGTGACAAAGCCTGAAAATCCATTAAACGCTAGAAGAACCAAAATAAGACCCAAAACTTCCCGACCCGAAAATCATAAATATGGTTTTCTTACATTTAAATATAGTTAAATTAACTAAAAAAGAGTAGAACACGCTAACAAAGCTTTAAAAAACGATTCTATTCTATAAAAGTCGAAACTAAAGTAAACTAACCCCAAATTTCCCGCCCTGAAAATTATGAATTTTTTGTTTTTCTTACAATTTAGGTATAGTTAAAATGAGCAAAAAAACAGTAGAACACGCTAACAAAGCTCTAGAAGCCGATTCTAATCTATAAACACCTAAATAACGCAAAACCCCAAATTTCCCGCGCATCCCCGGCGGCTTCACCCGCGCCGTACAAATCGATATTCGATCGGATCGCGCCGTCGGCGTGCCGGGCAGCATTTCCAATGAACACAGCTGAATTCCAGTTGCTAATCTACCTTTTGCGGGGCGACGCCGTTCGCCTTCTGGACCATGTTGGATGGCTCGGCCATGAGGGAGGGGCCCTGGCTGGCTGGTTGGGTGGAGGGGGGCGAGGAGGAGGGGTTCAGTGTGGGGGTGGGGCGACTGATGCTCCGCCCGCGCCCTTCCCCCAAAGCGTCGCCGCGCGCACGCGACGCATGGGTGTGTCTGGGTGCTCCTGGATGTGCTCTATATTCCTGCAGCACCGCCCCAACCCCCGGGAGAACCGCCCCGATCCCACTGGGGGGACTCTCAGGGGCGTGTGCCCGTCTCTCTCTCTCTCTCTCTCTCTCTCTCTCTCTCGCCCCCTTTTGTGCACGAGGCTGACAAACAGCTGTGTCTGCCCCCCTCCATGCCTCGCCCATTCTATCCACCCGATCACGCCCCACACCCAGGGATTCCAGTTTTTCTCTCCCGCCTCTCTCTCTCTCTCCCTCTCTCTCTCTCTCTCGCCTTCTCTGTCCCTCCACTATGTCCTGATCTCTCGCCCCACCCGCAAAAACTCTCGACAACCTCCGTCAAATCGTGGAACCGCGCCGGCCGCGCTGTCTCGTCAGTTTTTCTCGAAATGTGCACTAGCTCGCTGGGAAAAATAACTAAGTATTGGAACTATTGAAAACACCCAAAATACCGACAAGCCGGAATGACGAAAGTCAAAATACCGACAACGAAAACGCCGATAAGCCGCGATGACGCCTATAAAAACACTGTTCTCGTTAGGTTTTTGAAACGGCTATGGTTTCAACATCGGGATCCAATTTTGCCATTCGGCATTTCAATCTGGAACTATCTGGCGGATTGTCGCCTAATCGTTTGGCCTATTGTGGATCAAAATTCATTTGCAAACATTTTCTAAGTTTTCTAAATAAGTAAATAAATGATATTTAATTCCTAGCCATATCGCTTAAAACAAAAAATCCATTTTCGTTCGATTTCGCTAGCGGTTGATTTCGGCTTGTCGGCATTATGACTGTCGAAATCTTCAATGTCAGTATTCCAGGGAAACAGTAAAAATGCCGAGAGGCCGGAATCACGGCAACTAAAATGGCGCCATGACGATAGAGATCTGCTAATATCATGGCTAATGCTAGCTGTTCGTGCACTAATCTAACGATTTTCACCGTCATCTTGGCTATGATTTCGGCTTGTCGGTATTATGGTTGGCGAAATTTTGAAGGTCGGCATCCGGCTGAAAATCTGCTAATATCTACGAAACCGCTAAATCTGGGCCTAAAAAGCAGGGATTTGTGTGTAAAACCTCGGCGAGAAGCGTACACCACCGGCCGCCCCCTGTCCCAAAAACCGGCCACACCCCTTGACGGCGATGTGCCTGCGTCTACACGAGGTCGGCGTTCCCTGGTTTTGGAGGAGAAACGCGTCTGCCTGGGTCCTCTGCTCTGGCGTAAACACCCATCGCGGTGATGGGAAAAATAAGCACGGCCATCCCTGTAGTTAAATCCAAAGTGCACGAGGTAATAACTAGGGGGGAAAGAGTAAGACGGCTCAAGGGTGGATTTGTTGTTTCATAACCTACAAATCGTCTCCTTATCTCAAAAGTAGCATCTATACCTACGCTAGATGAAAAACGAAAATTTTCTCAACCCTGAAAAATACTAGAATATCCTGTTTCGCAAGTTCTAAAACCGCAAAAAAGCGCGTAAAAGCTGCCATGTCCCTGCCGCTAAAAAGTTTGTACTTTTTTACATTTTCATTCATTAAATTCAAGGATTTTAATAAATACACTTATACTACTTTGAAAATGACCTAGATTAGCAAAACCAATTCAACTAGCTTTATGTGATACGAAAATTGTAAAGCTGCTGCCGATCGAAAATATCTAGAAATTTAATAAATACAATACACTTTACTATACGATGTTTAAAAAACGCCCATCTTCCTAAATTATCAAAATCAGTTCAAATGGCGTCATTGGATCCGGAATTGCAAAAATTACGCGAATCAAAACGCTTCAAAAGAAAGTAAAAAAAGACTGATCTACAACAAAATCTATGAAATAAACTTCTAAGATGTGAAAACCATGATCAAACTGCCTAAACATTAAAACCTAATGAAACTAGCTTCAATTGTCCCAAGAATTGTAAAGCTTTCGCCGATAAAAACCCTTCAAAAAAGTAAAAAGATTCAACTTCAAAGAATCTAAGAAATAAACTTCTACGATGAGAAAACAACGCCCACCCTTGCCTAAACAGTAAAGCCCAATTAAACTAGCTTCATTTGACCCGGGCGTTGCAATTTTTTTATGCGAATAAGAGTTCGATCCATCGACGACGAGGAGCAGGACAAATCCCGGGCACCCGCGCAGAAAGTCAGCCGGTTTTGCACAAAAAAGCTTGCTGAAGGCGACAGGATGATTGAGAGAGCCGCCGAGGGTTAATTGCGAATCTAATATCAGCAAAAACAAGAACATCCGTCGCTATAATCAGGAAATTTATTTTATTCGAAGAGTTTTCAAATCAGCAACATGCGCCCGAAACTAACTATAAACCCCGATTTCGCCTAAATAGAACTTTTCGAGCACCATCCTAACTATTTTAATTATTTAAACCTTTAGAAAGTAATAATACCTTTGGCGCCGGCGGCCACCAGTTGAAATATCCATTGTCCTCTTCGTCATCTTCAAAAGGGAGCACCTTCTTCTTGCCGTCTTCGTGCCACATCTTCGACAAGTTTTCTGGAATCGGAACTGAACCTAATCGCAATAAAAATGTACACAGCGGAGAGAAAAGAAATAATCATTTGAGTGCAAGCATAGGCTCTTTCACGGGGTAAACACTAAAAACTAAAACTTACAAAAACTATAGGAAAACGTGATTGCGATTCAGCTAAAGAAGCAAACCTTACAAAATCTCTATCGAGACGCTCTCCTTCCTATAAGTCAAAGGACGAAATGATTAATACAACGGCCACTAAATCAAAAGTCGAAGTTTTAAAGTTTCAAAAGCGATAGATAAACTATTTTACAAAGCCGAAAAACTTCTAAATCCGAACGACAAGAAATAAACCAGTAAAGAAACTCCATATGCAGACAAAAACACAAAATTCTTGTTTATATCACCTTCAGTTTCATTTTAACAAGTACCTGTGATCAATTTTATCATTCTTTCCACCATCGCATGCTTATTTATGGTCAAACATTTATTCATTTTAACACAATCAACTTCTCAATAACAATCAACGATGTATAATCCCGTAGAGAGCACAACATGAAAAACAGAAAAACAAACAATGAATAAAGCGGTGCGTGGGGCTTGTACTGCTTGCCGTCGAGCGCTTGCAAGGTGCTTCGGTCGAATTAGATGCTGTTCACCGGGCTCACTTTCAGCTCAATGTCTTCGGGGCGTAGCTGGAAATAAAAATATGATCCTTGTGTATTATCGAGGGGGGTTCTAGTGCAAAACTGCCTAGTAACGTAATAACGAATTTTAATAGTGTTTCCAAACAATTTTGTATCAAACGTGAAAAAACCATAAAAAAAAACCTAGAAATATTTTTTAACGGAATTTTTTATCGTAAATTGGTATTTATTGGTCGAAAACCTATCTTTTCTGGCATTTTGCATCAAATTTGCAGTTTTACGTTTTGGAATAGTAAAAAAATCGCTTCGAAAAACGTCTTCTATACAAATTTGATAAATCGGACCCAAGAAAAAATTTGGCATCCCCCCCGGATAATGCGAAAGCACCTAAGAAATCAGTAAATTTTTTACCTTGCCAGGCGGAGTGGTGGCCTCCTCGTCCTCGTTGAGCGTGGGCAGGATGCGGAGCGATGAGAAAGACGAGTTGAGACGCCCACTAAAGATATTATTGACAAAAAACATGAAGTCGCGTACCCGGATCTGCTCGGCGATTCCATTTCATCCACGAACGTCTCGTCAACCGGCGTGATCGAGATGGTCAGCTCTAAAAAGATGTTAGAAAATTATAAAAATTAGAACAGTTATAAAAGTGATCCGCTTGAATTTTAATCATTGGCGTCGAGTTTAAGAATTTATTAAACAATTTTGCCAATTCTGAAGCTAAAATTGCCACAAATTCAGTCAAAAAACACTGTTTTTCGACAAAATGTCCCATTTTTTAGCAGAAGCGCGCATCAAGCAGAATTTAAAAACTAAAGTGAGCTGTATTCTAAAACTAAAGATCTAAATGTATACCATCCGGGTTTCTGCATCTCATCTGACGGGCGCGGCTCGTCTGCAGGCTGTTGCTGCGGCCCGGAATTCTTGACGGCGACCCGATCGTGCTGGGAAGGCCGGGCGGGAAATCTAGAAATACAGAAATAAAAACTGAAAAAAATGTGATACCGCCAATGGAGCAGTCCAGCGAGATGGAGTTGTTGAAATTGTCGGGGATCTCCTCGCGCAGCGGTGAAAATTGCACGGAGCGCGACGTCTGGCGGTGGATGTAGGTGAAGCCGACGCAGGTGCAGTAGATGGCGTAGCCGAGGCAGAACCACACGAAGCACACCTAAAAATAGATTTTTTTATCGTCGTCGAGAGATAAAAATTCCTTCCACGCAAAATAATTCCTACAAAAAAAGTTTTAACCCGATCTAACACGGTTTGCTTTCTTTTTAGATCTCGAAAATTAAAATTACAATAAAAACTATACTTTTTGTGCTGTTTTTATTGTTTCTCATCACTCAAACCACATTAGAAGCGTTCTAAAAGTGCCAAAAACTGTCCAAAAAGCTTCGAAAACGTTCAAAAACGTTTTTTTCTTGTTCTTACAAAGCTGAATTTTATCCTTACCGGCACTACCGAGAAGCGGAAGACTTGAAATAGACGCGCGGCCAGTGTGCCCGTCTCGACCGCCCTGAGCGCGAGCAGGCTGAAGGAGAAGGTGGACGCCGACCAGCTCGTCAACGGGAGAAACAAGACTATCTAGAACCAGTCATAAATTTCGAAAAATTAGATTCTACCTCCACCAGCAACATTGGAAGGAGCGCGAGCGCTGGGGTGAGCCGGCTGCCCTCGCCGTGCGGGCTGTTCGGTGACATTCGGCGAACTTTTCGCATGGCCCACACGCAGCAGAGCACACTAAAAAATAAAAATAAAGTTATCCGCAGGAAAATGAGCACCTGAAGCAGATGAACAAGGAGAACCAGTAGAGAAACTCACGGCAGAAGTCCGGTGAAAAACTGAAAAAAAATTTTTGGTGAAAAGCCGTAAAAACCAACTCTTTCGGCATAAGATGGGCGTATAGGACCGTATTGAAGGGTGTGGAAGAAGCGACGAGGCCCCACCCGGCGATGAGAATGAAGAGCAGCTGGAGGATGAGTAGAAAATGCTAAAGAAAACCAGGTAAATAAAGGTAAAAAATAGTTACCTTGACGTGCAGCTGGCCGACGCAGCACCTGCAGTATTCGACGCCGCGGCTGCGCTGGAGGATGGTGGCGGTTCGTTGGCTGTTGCGGCGCCGAACGAGGGTTGAGCGGCGGACGAGACTGCCCGTCTCGACGCCATTGCGGCGGACACGCATAGGTTACGGGTACCTGGAAAAAACTAGATAAAGCCAGGAAAGTATGAGCACAAGAAGAAATGGAAAGTAGCATTTTTACGAAGCAAATAGTGCTAAAAAGCGTTTTGATGTTTTAAAGCTCTGTAAGCTACTGCTACTGCGAAAACGCAAAGCTTACGAGTACCTGGGAAGAAAGCTAATGAAAACACAACTAGGAAAGCAACGGGAATAGACAATAGAGCATTTACCAAGCAAGAAGTAAGTGTAAAAAGTGTCTATCAGCTTGTTCGAACGCGTGAATCTTCGAAATATTGCAAAGCCGAGCCAAGACGTGTTTTTGACGGTTTTCAAGCGCCGCGAGTCACTGCCACCGTGCAAAAGCTGAGATTACGGGTTACCGGGAAAGAAATCTAGCGCAAAAGAAAGACGGAAAACAGAAAGAAATAAAAGGTAAAAGAATTAAGACGTAAGAAGATTGCAAAAAACGGCAACTGAGGCCGCGAAACAACTAAAACAGGTAGTAAAAGTAAGGCCAGGTAAAACAGACTTGTGAACAATCGAAGTATTGCAACACCAAGCTAAACTGATTTTAAAGCTCTGCAGTGCAACAAATTGCTGGGTTTCCAAACGGATAAGTTCAAAAAAGCACAAGAATCGTGGCCGCGAAGACCAAAAAACCTCGCCATACCTCACAAAAGCAACGGTTTACAAGTTTTTACATAAAATTCGCGAACTAGATATAAAAAGTTATTTTTATTGATTGTATTTACAATCCTAGACCGTATTCTTTTCGTCGCATTTAAAAAAAAAGAAAAACTGGGCGAGAAAAACGGAACGCTACCATACCGTATTCCACGTAATGGTGGTGCATTCGTACTATTTCATATCGTAATGGACTTTCCAAACTAAAAATAAAACTAAAAAAAAGAAATGTATTTATTTTATTTCCTCTGCATCTAAAAAACTATCAATCTAGCTGTCTGTCTGTTCTTCGAAAAAATGCGAATTTTCAAGCGATGGGATGCGGTTTTTACATAATTTTCGAGCAATTTTATTCATGCTTTCTTTTCTGGGATTTTGAACAAAGTCTTCTTAAAATAAACACAAATGCGAGGATGACAAGCACAACGGCGAGGAGGACGACCAGAATTACGTCAAGCAAGAAGTACTCGATGAAGGAGAGCTGGCGACCATGTGGGTCGAGCTCGGTCAGCGGGCCTAAATTGCTTTGTAAGAAGTTTCTAAATAGTTTTTCTAATTTTCCTTGGGCAGCTTGAGGACTATGTCATGCTTTTCCCTACCGTACGCCGCCGCAAACTCGGTGGTTTTCAGGAGAACTTCACGAGGCGGAAAGGGGCGATTCGCCAACATCGCGGCCATCCGCTCCGCATTTTTGGTTAGCCTAAAAAGGAGATTTACTCGAAATACCGCTAAAACTCACGTTTCATTATCCAGCAGCTCCCGTATCGCCGACTCCAACTTGGCGGCATCGCCCAGCTCGAACTTGTTGTACTCCAGCGTGCTGCCCACACGGCCGACCAGCTTCGCGTTGGCGAATTGATCGGCAAAGAGGGGCACGACGATGGCCTAAATTTAGCATTGAAGGAAGCTGAATGCAGAAGAACTTACTTTTTTTGCCTCGCCAGGTAAACTCGTTGACGCTGCCGGCGCCGCCGTGGGTGATGAACGCCGTCAGGCGGTTGTCGGCTGAAAAGGGGAAAAAAAGAAGTAAAGCTTCCAAAGCTTACCGAGTAAGTCGGCTTGCGGCACCCAGGGGTGAAGAATCAAATTCGGCGCTTCTTGGGCTTCTGGAAGCTCTTCGGGGGCTTCATATTTCCAGATGAAGGTGACGTCGGGGAAACTGAAAAATCTTTGGTTCTTCGCATTATCGGGGGGGGGGGACAAATTTTTTTGGTCAAAACGGAGCCATTTTTGGTCGTAAAACCTATATTTTTTGCATTGTTTAATGGATTTCCAGTCATTTCGCATAATTTTCATTTCGCATACCGCCATTTCGCATAATTGTATTTCGTATAATTTTTATTCCGCATAAGGGTGGTTTCGCATAACGCTTATTTCGTATAACGCTGATTTCGCATAACGGTGGTCTCGCCTAACCGTCATTTCGCATAACGATCATTTCGCATAATTTTCATTTCAGCTAACAACCATTTCGCATAATTTGGATTTTGCCTAACGGTCATTTCGCATAATTTTCGCCATTGGCAGCCGATGGTATATATAACTCTAGCTTACTAATTAGCAATCGATGAAAAACAATCTAACTGCGCGGTTTTTTGCGCCCTTCCGTGCAGATATCCCAAGCTTGCTCAAAATCCATCCCCATGAGGTGTACGTCTGTTTTGAGGGGCTTGGCCAAAATCCTCGTTGTAGATAGTATCCATGTGTAAACTAGCAGATCTGACCGCAAGACTAGGTCAAAAGCATGACATTGATTACAGATGCGGAATCCGCGTAAATGGTAGCTAGGCATTTCGGTTGTCTGATACCTTTACTGCACTTCATATCATATAAAACGCCCTGTTTTGCTCTTGGTTGCCACTAACTAAAAAATATGCGAAATAAACGTTATGCGAGATCATCGCTAGGTGAAATGAAAATGATGCCAAATGATCGTTATGCGAAATCATGGTTCGGCGAAATGACCGTTATGCGAAATCGCCGTTAGGCGAAAAGCGTTATGCGAAATCATCGTTATGCGAAATCACCGTTATACGGAATAAAAATTATGCGAAATGCAATTATGCGAAATGGTAATTATGCAAGGTGAAGAAATACCGTTTAATGGCCATTTGTAAAGTTTTGACGTTTAGAAATAGTCAAAAACAGTTTAGAAACCATTCCGCTATTTTATTAAAAAAAATTGGATCCTAAGAAAAAATTTTTGATCCCACCGATAATGCGAAGGAATCAAACTTTTTAAAGGGGCTCCGAAATCTGCTCCCGCCCCCTGCTGTGATTCCCGGCAAATAGCCAGATGCGGCCGCAACGCGACCGCGCCATTATCTTTAGCCTCTGTTTGGACGCGAAAACGCTTGAATTTCAAAATTCTGATACTTTTTTTGAAATTCTCAACGAATTTTGATCATTCCAGACTTTTAAATTATGAACATTGGCCAGAGAATCACCGAGATCGAGAGATTGGGTGCCTTACAAGGCATTACGACATGTAATAGCCGCGCACTCAAAATGTCGTTTTTGTCCCAAAATGAATTCGGTTTTTCTCAAAGATTTTACGTTTTTTCGCAATCAAATCACTTTTTGGCACTTCTCGGCAGTGACCCTTTCGTTTTTTGACCAGTAGGTTCAATCCCCGCACGCACGAATTTTGACTTCTGAGCCCCTTTAATAAATTGTAGCCAGTCCCTTTCCTAAAAAACCTCCGCTAGCCACCCATTTCCTACCTTTTAATAGCCTTGATAATGGCCATCTTCGATTCCCGCGGCATATCCTTGCTCTTCGCGATACTTCCAAACGAGATGAGCACGTTGGCCGGGCGGAGATTCAGAATGTCTTTCCATTTCTAAAATAATGTTAGAAAAGGTATTTTAAGGTACGCCACCTGCTCTAATGGCCGGGGTTCCGGCACGGCAATCCCTCCGAAATACTGTAGCTTCAGGATTAGAGGGCGGGGATGATCGTAGTAGGGCTCGACGTTGGCCAGCACAAACGAGGAGCCGGTGAGGAGATCCTGAAAAAAGGGAGGCTAGCAGAGATTCTTAGAGGAAAAACACCAAAAATTCGTGGGCTCACCTCTATTTTTGGAAATTCAGGATCGACAGTTCGTAAATAGTCGTCAAACATTGCGAAGCCGCCGGTGATCATGTGCCTGAAAAAGCAGCTTTTTTTAGGCGTGTTAGCAGAGATTTTTTAGGAAAGGGCAGTCGAGCAAAGATCCTTTAGGAAAAAGGGAGGCTAGCAGAGAAAATTAGGCAAATTTCCTTACTTTTCCATCACCGATCCGACCAAATTCATCGCTCGCTCCACGAAGCTCATTTGATCCGTTGAACTCGACGACATCGCTGAAACGCAGATTTTAAAGGCCCGTTGAAGTCAAGGTTCCGAACGGAATTAAAGTTCATTAATTATTTCAGGAATAAATTAAAATTCGTCCGTAATAATACCCACACGGCACGTATGCGGGCGCCATCGGTGCCCCGAAAATTGACGGGAAACTCGCGCCGAATGTAGACGACAAAATCCCGATGTACTTGTCGAGGCCGATGCGGTGGAAGATGGCTGAAAAAAGCTAATTTTTCTAAATTCTTCAAGAATACCTGCTAGACTGCCTTTTCCTAAAGAATCTCTGCTAGCCTGCCCTTTCCTAAGGAATCTCTGCTAGCTTGCCCTTTCCTAAAGGATCTCTGCTAGCCTGCCCTTTCCTAAAGAATCTCTGCTTGCCTGCCCTTTCCTAAAGAATCTCTGCTAGCCTGCCTTTTTTTTGATTTTGCTAGCCTGCCCTTTCTTAAAGAATTTTTGCTGGTTTGCCTTTCCTAAGAATATCTGCTAGCATGCCCTTTCTTAAATTATCTCTGCCAGCTTCTTCATTCTTAATAACCTCTGCTAGCCTACCCTTTCTTGAGATCTTTGCTGCAGGTCTTTTCCCTAAAGAGCCTCTGCTAGCCTGCCCTCGAAAAAAGCTTACCAAATCCACTGCCCTCCAAGCACTCCGAAAAGCCGATGTCGAATTTGTAGCCGCGCAGCTCTTCTAGAAGTGGCTCGTCCTCGAAAATTCCTAAAATATAATAATCCAAAAAAAAAAATCAGAAATAACCGACTTTTCGTAAAGTCCAGCGTAGCGCGTCGCATGAAGGTGAGGAACTAAAAAAAATATTATTATTCGTAGCAAGTGGGAGTAGAGCAAACTAGCAGAGATTCTTTAGGAAATGGGGAGGCCGGCAGAGACTCTTTAGGAAAGGGCAGGCTAGCAGGGTTTCCGAGGGAAAGCTGATCAACTCGTACCTGAATTGTTGGTCGTGGATCAGTCCCGGAGCTTGTCCACCTCTCACTATCCGACACCGACATGACGGAGGGCAGTAGATGACCGACATGCTCGCTAGGCGGCAGCTCGATTACCTGAAAAAAATGTTATTTTTAGATTATTTTTAAAGATTTATTTATTTTAGGTTCAAGATTATTACAAAACGTTTGTCCCTTCAGAAATCGATTATTTGTGGGGACGCGTATCACCACGGGCGCCATTTTGTGCCATAAGAAAATTGTGGCTGTCAATTGGCCGCGGCCACAAATCACTTTCCAGCCAATATTATTCATTGCCATTTAATTCTATGCATAGTTTGTATTTCAGAAAAAAATACTTGATATTACCTGATCCAGTCGTAATCCTTCTAACCACCAAAAAATTAAGGCCAAGAAGCTGAATTCTTGGTTCCTTCGCATTATCGGGTGGACCAAATTATTCTTAGGACCTGATTTTTCAAATATAAATATTAGAGTTATTTCTAAAAGGTTATTTACCATTCCTAAACGTGAAGCTTTACAAATTTTTGCCCAAAATATAAAAAAAAATATCGACTTTTTCGTCCAAAATTGGCGATTTTTGAGCAAAATTTCGATTTTTTAAAGTTTTTTTTGATAGCTTCCTAATTGAAATATAGTTGATATATATTAGTTATCTTATCACAAAAAAACACTATGAAACTAAAATATTTATTCTTCGGCTACGAGACATTTTTAAGCTTATACAAAAAATGTCGGTCCCCCCCCTCCACGGTAATGCGAAAGAGCTGCATTCTTTTTCTTTTAATTTTTATAAGTAAAATCGAGAACAACGGCTTTAATAAAAATGGCTTCTCCTGCCCCAGGTTTTCACAAAAATTTACTAAATTAAGCCGAAAGAAAAGCATGACGTTTTTCACTTTAGAACCAGCCCAAACGAATAAATGGCGGAACCAACTTCCGGCAGCCTTAAAGCTAACGAGATTAGGATGGGCCTTCTCCGACTGCGGATGACAGAGGTAAAAATTCTAAGCAAATCGATTTCAAAATGCATTCCGTTAGCATGCTCCAACTCAGGAACCCCTATTACGGCCGAAAGTTGCCAGTCTGCGGAGTCAGATAAAGACGGTCGAGTTTCTGAATTGCCCACAATGCGGAACGGCGTTCACCGTTGAAAATGGGGCGATTCTGACGGCCGACCGCAAATTGGGATGTAAGAAGTGTCAAGGAAAAACGGATGGGAGTCCCGGAAGCTTCGTCATGGAGATTATCACTCAAGGTAGGCCAGTATTACAAAGATATGCTAGGCTAGCAAAGATTCTAGGAAAGGGCAGGCTAGCAGAGATTCTTGAGGAAAGGGCAAGCCAGCAGAGATTCTTTAGGAATGGGCGGGCTAGCAAAGATTCTTTAGGAAACTGGCAGGCTAGCAGAGATTCCTTAGGAATGGGCAGGCTAGCAGATATTCTTTAGGAAAGGGCAGGCTAGCAGAGATTCTTGAGGAAAGGTCAAGCTAGCAAGAATTCTTTCGGAAAGGAGAGGCTAGCCGATTTTTAGCAAAACCTTCCTTACAAGATTGTTAGGAAGACGTTAAGTTTGTGTAACTAATTTTTCCAGGCGGTTTCTTCAAGGACGCCGAGCTTGGCTGGGTGACGGCGCACCAGATATTGGCTGGGGTTGGGTGCAGTTTCTGCACCGATTCCCAAAACTACGAGTACATCTTCGCCTGTGGCCATCGAGCCTGTACAAGGTGTAAACCGCCAGAACAACGACCGAAATGTGCGAAGAAATGCCGAGGCGGGGATGGCCCGGCTGGAGCTGGCAGTGATGTGCTTAGCTTTTACGTCAAATATCTCGATTTCTCGTCTGGCTTGAGAAGGAGACGCAAGGTATCCTACTATATATAAAAAAATAGTGTTTGTGTGTGTGCATTTGCATGCAACTTCCGTCCGGCTGTTCCACACGTATCGGGTCAGGGGAAGGTTTTTATATGTCATTAGGTATGGGAGATATGTCATTAGGTGTGAAATCGGCTTGGCATGAATGCCGACCTACCAGATTTTACAAAAAAAGCTATTTTCGATATTAAATTGTAGATTTTCGCTAAAATTCGGTCACACAACTTTGTTAAACAAGAATTTGCATTCGCCGGAAGCGGTTGACGCCTATATAAGCCAGCAAAGGAGATCGTTTTCATTTTTTGCCAAGCGGGTTTGGCCAGAACTATCCAAAGTGGAGACCGTTTGGGGATCGGGACGGGGCCAGGGTTGAAAAGCCGCGAAGCGGTTTTTCAACCCTGGTGTGCGATAAAAGTTATGAACATTTTGAAACGTGAGCAAGCTGTCGTTTTTGTTATTGTAGAGAGGGCAGGCTAGCAGAAACACTTACAAAAGGACAGGCTAGCAGGCATTTTTTAGGAAATGGGCAGGTTAGCAGAGATTCTTGAAGAAACGGACAGACTAGCAGGGATTCTTAGGGAAAGGCACGCACCGAACAAATCCACTAAAAGCGTGACTTCAGGAGAGCCAAGCGAGAGATTCGCACGAAACTTGGAATATCTCGAGCTTGTCAAACGCCTAAATTCGAGACGGGGCAGCATTTCCGATTTGGCGCGAGGAAGTCTGTTGATTAGCAGCTCTTCTGAAGCCCGAAAAGTAAAACGACAAAAGAAAAAGCTTCGAAAAGTGCAGCCGAGCAAGCTACCTTGGAAAATCCCATCAGCCTTACGAAGCAATGTGAGGAATGCCAATTCGAAAATGACATTGAACAGTTTTTCTGCTGCAACGATTGCGAAAAGGTAGGAGATCAAGAAATTAGAAAGTTATAGTTTCCTACCGGTTTAAAGGGGCTGATAAGTCAAAATTCGGTTCTTTCGCATTATCGGGGGGGCAGACATTTTTTAAGGAACCATTTTTGAAAAAGTATTTTTTTCAAAAATACAAATAGCTGAAGTGTTTTTAAACTGTTTCTATAATATTCCTAAACGCGAACACTTAACAAAATTTTATTAAAATGCAAAAAATATAGATTTTTCCACGAAAAATTGGTTATTTTGACGCAAATTTCGACTTTTTGAAAAAATTTCAAGGTTTTTCTGGTTAAAATATAGTTTTATTACACTAAAACCATTAGGAAAATACTTCCTAGTAAGTTACTCGGCATTTCTAGATTAATACAAAAAAATTGTCCCCCCCCCGATAATGCGAAAGAACCGTAACGTCTAGAAAGCCCGTCCAATACTAAATTTACAGTAACTACACAATTTTCCAGAAAACGATCTGTGGCAAATGCGGACTTTTGAACCACAAAAACCACGACTTCGTCCAGTTGATCACGGTAGAATTGAAGGGGCTACGCACCGAGATTGGCGTCGAGCAGAAAAACCGCTACGAAGGACTGGCGGGGAATATCACGGGGCTACACGACTGTACGCGAGACGCCATTAATGCGCTATTGGCGGTGAAGGATGCATCCTACGCAGCGATTGAGCAGCAGCGTACTGTAATAGGTAGAGAACTTCGTCAAACCCCAAAAATTCGTTTTTCTTGACGGTCTTCGTGGCCCGGGCTCGGAAAAATAAAGAGGGAATACATAGACATGTCGAGAACACATCCCTTTAAACATTTTCTCAAAAGGTAAATCTTTCGAAAACCTAAAAAATCTAACTTTTTTACGAAAAACTAAAAAATAAAATTCTAAATTTTTCGGCGCGTCGCGTGTCGCGGGCGCGGCAAAATACTCAAATAATCCACTTTTTAGATGGCCACAAAGTGCGGGAAGAGATGCGAGCGGCGGCAAAGTATTTTGAGGAGTACTGTGAAGACTATATCCCGCTAGTACGCTCACTGAACGATAGACTACACGAGACGAAGGAAAAACTCGACAAGCTGTTGCTACCAAAAACTCAAGAATAAAGTTTTGTTTGTTGAAATAAAGCTTGGAATTTCGAAAATTTAGCACACTGCGCATTTTCGAAGACAGAAACTGTGTGGCAAGGATAAATAAAATTATAGCTAGAAAGAAGGCAATGCGCTATACTTTTTAAAACGTTTAAAAAGATTTTAAAATGATGAGAGAATTCGTCGAAATTCACGTCCATAATACATATTAGAAGGCAGAAATTATTAATCTTGAATGTATGAATAAATCTGGGCAGGCTAGCAGAGATCCCTAGACCCATTTTACGTAAAACCCCCGATAAAATGCACGCACCTTGGCTAAAGCGATCCCGGTGCCCGTCTGTTGCGCGATGAGGACCGGCTGGAGCACCACCTGGAATCGCAGTGATAGAAAATTAGGTAGATTTTTACTGGCTTGTAAGGCAGGTAACTTTGTTTTTAAGTATTGTAAACTTATTAAAAGCTACAAGTTTTAAATATAACCTCCATTCTATCAAAAACTAACTCGGTAAAATTACGCCCTTACCGTAATTGTCAGGCGTCAATTTTGCGACCAAATTGAAAATTGTAAAATCTGTCAAATGTAAAATCTGTAAATCCATGGAAGTCGCATCTCTCTTACCAATTAAATAGTTGCGACATTTTAATACGAATAATAATAAAGTAAATAAAGTTACTTTAAATTTAATCACGCGAACGGTTTCTGTTATTTTAAAATCATATCCATTGAAATATATAGTTTTAATGTGCTTCCAACGATGTATTTAAAGGCATGTATTTTAAACTACAACCCAAAAAAACTGAATAATAGCCCATTAAATCTTTATAACAATTTCACTTTGAATTTTCAAATCCAAATTTAAGACCAATAAACATTAAATGCGTTAGACCGGGTTACTAAAAAATGTCGAAATTCTCAATGTCGAAAATCATAATGTCGAGACTGATAGTGTAGAAGTTTGATATTGTAGAAATGTCAGAATGCGGGCGTTTCAGAAAGTCGAAATTTACATAAGCAAATCTCGCAGAGAAAAATCCAAGTGCTATGCAAAAATTCGATATATCGACATCATGAAATTTTGAAATTTCGGCTTTTTGAAATTTCGACATTATTATTTTCGACATTTTCAAAATTTCGACATTATGATAGCAAATCCATTAACTTGATGCTTTACCACTTGATGGCCAGCCTCAGCCAAAATATCGGCAACTCGACCGACAAAATTCGTATGTGACGGGGCATAGCGCGGGGAGTAGACGAGAATATTTAGGGCACAAAGACGCGGTAAACATGTTAAGAGAATAAAGAAAATTAGCATATTTAATGGGGCTTAATAGAGAATATATATAAGAGAAAAAATACTTCAAATCGCGCTTGACCCCGAGGCAGACAGCTGGGTGTCTTGGTCAACCACAGCTACCCCGCATCTAAAATCGGGGTGATAAGGAGCGCTGAGCGTGTTTTTGCATGCGCGTAGACACAAACTATGTCGGTGCTTGGAACTTACGATATGGGGTCAGCGGAAGCTTTTAAGAGATCTTTAACGATGGCGAAGTCAAAAGATTCATTTCCGGGATTTTTACGCCAAAAAAAGTTAGGTTCTTTCGCGTTATCGGGGGGAGGGAGATTTTTGTATAAGTCTGGAAAGGCCTAGTAACTTAATAGCAATTAGTTGTTTTTAATAAAATAAAACGATTTTCAACTAGAAAAACTATTTAAAAACTTTTAAAATTCTAAGTTGAGATTTTGCTAAAAAAATCGCCAATTTTGGTCAAAAAATCTATATCCTTTTGATATCTGTTAAATAAAAATTTGTAAGGTTTCTACGTTCAGCAATAGTCAAAAAGAGTTTAGAAACACTCCCGCTATTTCCGTTTCAAACAAATTGCATCCAAGAAAAACGGGTACTGGGTTGTTAGCGGGGGGGGCTTGGCATGGGGGAAATCCAGTTTTTGTTCTCCTAGCTACACCTAACAAAAAAGATATCGATTAACTTTTTTTGATTATCGATTTTTCGACCAAAAATGACCGTTTTTGAACAAAATTTCCACCTTTTGAAAAAAGCCAAAGTTTTTGGATGATTTTGCTAGTAATAACTTTTTTATTTTACTGAAAAAATTATGAACTACTTGTTATTAAGTTACTAGGCGTTTCAAGGTTAGATAAAAAATCTATTCCCCGCCCCCCGATAAAGCGCAAGTACCCCGCTTTTCAACAACCAGTTCAAGATCACAAATTCCCCGATGACAAATTGCGCATTCGTCATGACCGGTATCTGGTAGAAAAACTTATGGCTGCAGCGCGGGGAGGACGTCAATAAATCGTGAATGTACCGTAACCCTCGCCCCTTTTGCGAGTCCGTTGGATGACTCAGTACGAACAAACATGTAAGCCACAACCCTCGGAAAAGCCCATAAAATATCGGGTTGAATTGAAAGGAGCGGGAGGAGGGCATCGAATACAAAAGATTCACGCAAATATTTCACCAAAAAGGGGGAGGGCCCTGGCAGAGGAAAAGCCGAAATCTATCACTCGGCTTCAACCAGTTCAGCCAGTTCAACAAGGTCCCCCGATATTTCGATTTCTGATTTTAAACTAAAACTGCAAAAAAAATGGAATTGTTTAGAAGAATACTACAATTCTGCTCTTTTCTAATTGGTAAGTCGTGTCGGCAAGCTTTAAAACGAAGTCACCTAAGCCGATAAAGCCTGCTTTAAAGGCACTATAAAGCTTAGAATATCTGGTTTCTGATTCTAAAACTCGTCTGCAAAAATGCAATTTTCTAAGAGAATATCACAATTCTTCTTTTTTTTAGTTGGTAAGTCGAGTCGGCAAGCTTTAAAACGAAGTCACCTAAGCCGATAAAGCCTGCTTTAAAGGCACTATAAAGCTTAGAATATCTGGTTTCTGATTCTAAAACTCGTCTGCAAAAATGCAATTTTCTAAGAGAATATCACAATTCTTCTTTTTTATAGTTGGTAAGTCGAGTCGGCAAGCTTTAAAACGAAGTCACCTAAGCCGATAAAGCCTGCTTTAAAGGCACTATAAAGCTTAGAATATCTGGTTTCTGATTCTAAAACTCGTCTGCAAAAATGCAATTTTCTAAGAGAATATCACAATTCTTCTTTTTTTTAGTTGGTAAGTCGAGTCGGCAAGCTTTAAAACGAAGTCACCTAAGCCGATAAAGCCTGCTTTAAAGGCACTATAAAGCTTAGAATATCTGGTTTCTGATTCTAAAACTCGTCTGCAAAAATGCAATTTTCTAAGAGAATATCACAATTCTTCTTTTTTTTAGTTGGTAAGTCGAGTCGGCAAGCTTTGAAACGAAGTCACCTAACTAGGGATGCCTTCCAACTTACCATCGAGTTTCGACTTGAAAATTGGTGAGCTTATAGAGTTTGAGCTTGCGATTCCGATGCGCTAGAAATTTTAACAAATCGTCCATAGGCGGCTGAGATATAACAAGTTTAATTTTGGCAAAAATGCATGATTTTTGCGCGTGCCGTCCCCGCCGCCCCTGGACGGGCGTGCGGAGAAGAGGCCCGTCTGGCACCCCTCCGGCATGGCAGCGTGGCCTCGAGGTAGAGCTCTCGCTTCAAAAACTTTTGGTCGGGGGTTCAATTCCGGCCACCAACTTTTTTTGAAAAAACTTTTTAAAGCTTTTTGCCAAGCTTTTTGCGATTGTTTTACGATGCTGTAGAGAAGGATGAAGAAACACAGGAAAAGCTCTGGAGCATTTCTATGAACAGAGATCTATGAAACTATATCATTTTATCAGATTCGAGAATCTTCACAGCCCGCTATCTTTTGATTCCGCCAGAGAATACAAAATAATAATGCAGGTAAAAAATTTGGCAAAAAGCTTTAAAAGGTTTTTTCAAAAAAAAGTTGGTGGCCGGAATTGAACCCCCGACCAAAAGTTTGTGAACCGAGAGCTCTACCTCGAGGCCACGCTGCCATGCCGGAGGGGTGCCAGAGAGGCCTCTTCACCGCACGCCCCGTTCAGGGGCGGCGGGGACGACACGCGCAAAAATCATGCATTTTTGCCAAAATTAAACTTGTTATATCTCAGCCGCCTATGGACGATTTGTTAAAATTTTTAGCGCATCGGAATCGCAAGCTCAAACTCTATAAGCTCACCAATTTTCAAGTCGAAACTCGATGGTAAGTTGGAAGGCATCCCTAGTAAGTCGATAAAGCCAGCTTTAGAGGCAATAGAAAGTCTAAGATCGTGCTCGCTTCCAAATCTACACTTGGGAAATGAAAAAAACCCTCGAAAATGCGACATTTCGATTTCTGATTCGAGATTTTTGAATTGGCTGTAAAAAATAGCATTTTTTCGAAGATTAGTTGAATTCTGCTTTTTCTAATTGGTAAGCCGATGCAAGCTTTAAAACGAAATAAACCAAGTCGAGTAAGCCTAGTTTAAAGGCATCAGAAAGCTTAGTTTCACGTTCGCTTTGAAGTATACACTTTGGAAACCAATACAAAATACCCTTATGCTACATACGGGTACAAAATGGCACAGTACAAAATACCCAATTTGGCACAGTAATACGGGTTGGCAGCGCGCCAAGAAGCGCAGAAAATGTTAGGCATTTTAGCCTATTTAGCGAATTAAAGGGTCCTGGACACCCCAAAAAAATGTTCAAAAAGATGGGATTTTCTCATACCTATTTTTTTAAATTATTTGTATTTCAAATTATTGAAAAAAATGTGTCAAAATTAGCATTTCTTTTCAAAAGATTAGGTTTTTGAAAACAGGAAACCAAAAGGAAGTTTTCACGATTTTACGCGCTGCAAAGTAAATTTTAAATCAAAACTAAAGGCGACGGTAAGCCAGGAATCTTCAAGAAGTACGGTAAAAGTGGCTTGAAAGCTTGAAAAAGTTCAAGAATGCCATAACCTTATCGTGATACCGTAATCCCGCCTAACAAAACTTAAAAACAAAAATTCCGGCTTTCAGCCGTAAATTAAAGATACCAGTGAGTCCAAAAAGAAGTCTAGAGAGCTCGAAAACGCTTCTGCTATTTTTTTTTTCTCTGCTAATACATGTCTAAATTACAGTACTCCACTCCATAAGCGCTCAAAACGCTACGCTGACAGCTATTGACGGTTCCTACATAGCGTTCGGGGATACGGTGGGGAAGACGGTGGTGAGTCAGAAGTGTCCCCATCCCGTTAAAAACCAATTTCTACAGTGAGTAGTGGATAGTGATTGCGTGGACTGCCTAATCTACGTCCAACTATTTGTTGATGCCATCACCGCCACGACGTTCACGATCAGTGACGGGACGGATACGGTCGAGTACGTTTTTAGTTCAACTAATTTAATTAATGAAATCTTTTAACCTATTTACCGTACGGAAAATACCCAGCGATTCTGTTCACAACCGTAAAAATTATGCTTATGCAGCTACGGTAGTACACACGCATTTTAACCAACACTTTTTCACAGCTACAATAATAATATAAAACCGAAAAGATCCTGTTAAAAAACCAGAAAAATTATATTTACTGCTCTACAGTATACCTAAGCTGCAACGAATCCATAAAAAAATAGAAAATTCTAGCTCGAAAAACTTCACGGCGCCCCGGTTCTTTGGCCCAAAGGTTACGGTGGATTTGCAGAAAAATTACTACTCGAACTACGTCCTTTCCTTTACACGAACCACAGAGAAATCGAGTAGGTTTTGAGGTTTCTTAGCTGAAACGAGTAGGATGGATTTCGCAAATCTACATGAACAATCTGTGACCTCCTTTTTACGGCTTCAAGTATCTACGCGATAAAACGCTATGACAAACCAAAAAAGTCAAAATCTATAAAAACATCTAAATCTTATAGAAAACACAGCCAAGTTCGATTTCACCCACCAGCTGAGCCGGCTTGACGATAAAGGGGAGACGAATGTCGTGCAAGGTATCGTTAAAATTCTCAAGGCTAAGCAGCCACGACCCAAAAAAATTCACACTGGCGAATACGTTAACCTAGAGAGCGTAGAGAAACAGAGACACAAAAATTAAATGCTTTTTTTAGCAAGTCCCAACCCCCAAGCGCACACCTTTTTCTGCGACGACGACGAGCCGATATTTTCGGTGGACGTCAAGGATGTGGTAAGTCCAAAACCTCAAAAATGGGCATAAAAAATGATTTTTCGTTTTCAAGTTACGTTACTATTAAGAAAAAAATCGTAGGTTTCATTAAAATAAATTTAGTCCTCAAACTGCACGGTCGAGCTCTACCTCTCCGGAATCCCCGGCAGCGACGACGGCAAGGAGAAATACAGGCTCATGCATTTTAAGTGAGAAGCTTTCCAA